CATGTCACTCTGCGTGTGACCCCACGGCACCATTCTGTATCTGTAAAATCTTCCTTACTGTCATGTTTTGACACCATCAGCTTGATAAATTGTTATGAACTCCCTATCTTAAATAGTTTGCATAGTTTTGGATTACTTAATACATTGGTTACACCCTCAGCATGCGACTCTTATTCCTATTGTGTTATTTGCAGTCATTTGAATTATCTCCATCACCATCTTATTTTTAATTTTTTGTAATGATCTCTCTGTCTCATTTAATCAGATTCTCGGTCATCATCCCTTTACTTGTTATTCAGCTGTTGACGTTTCACACACACCATCTGACACTCTCGATCACCGCAGGCACCTATTATCCCGTCTGTCAACACTCCACTCACACCATTTGTATGATCTTTTGATCTCTTTGCCCATTGACCTCTCTGCCTATAATTTCTGAGCCTGTGTGATTCTCTCTCACTTGACCTGATGAAGGGGCAATGCTCTGAAAACTTGTGATTTCAAATAAACCTGTTGGACTATAATCTGGTGTTGTCTGACCTTGTCCACCTCAGTCCAGCACTGGCACCTCCACATCAGAGTTAAAATAGAGAAAGTAATTGCTCCAAGACCAGCTATCTGAAAATCAGTTCTAATAAAGACAGCATTTAAACAATATTGTACTCACTGAGCTCATAATGGACAGGTGGGAGCCATAATAAGAGCTCACCATCTTGTTAATATTGTAAATGATTGAGGTGAAATGATAAACCCTTGGTAAGCACAGAATATTCTGAATCAAATTGGAGTCCATTATGCAAACAATGAAGAACAGGTCACTGAAGAGTTTGGCAGAAGGAAAAATATGACACAAAGAAACAAAGGAGATGAGAAAGTAGGGTATCACTGGATATTCAATAACTGCAATTCTGACTATCTGAAAAGAAGGAGAAATGTTACTTGTTAAAACAAAGGATAAGACAAAGGTCATTGTAAAACCGAAAACTATAGCAGCTGGAATAGACATTGAACTGACACTACTCTCGAGAGGAAGCAGGGCTATATATAACGAGCATTTTCCAAAGAATGTGAATTGCATCAAATAGTGACAGCAGTGGTCAAAAGAAGAATGAATACCATGGGAAAGTTGCTGAGATATATGGTGCTAGCTGACAGACAAGCCATGACTGAACAGGATTGAGGAACTGAATGGCTTCTTCCTGTTCTTTTGTGCTCTGCATCTTCACCAGTGAACTGTGCCCCTCATCAAAAGTCATGATTTTTTTATTTGCTGGTGACACCATGCTAAAAGATTGTGAACTGCCTTTTTAAACATTCCAGCCAGACACCGATAAAATGAGAAATTTGGTCATATATGGTGCTAGCTTTGGTACTGAGAGGCAATAAATGTTGGAAAGATTAACCTTGGTACTGACCGTTCACCTCTCCCCATTGTGAACATGCCAAGCCTCATGAATAACAAACATGCAGCTTGACTACTGAGCTGTAATTAGGTTATGGAAAAGATGTTTCAAAACTAGTTTGCAATTTTCGAGGAACCACAATTTCATCTGTCATTGTTTTGAAAAAGCTCAGAGATCATCAGAGTAGAGACTACAAAGCTCCTAAGTACTTTGGTTGATATTGGCTGCTTGGTTGATATCCCCTCAACTAGGCAGTGATCACTCTGTTGGCATGCTTCCCATATTCATAAGACATTCACATTTTATACCTTGAGGCTGTAGAATGTGTAATCTGGCAAATCCACTATAGCAGAAACTGGGAGAATGTAAGGACAGCAGAAGGCAATAAGGTTACTTATCAAAGCATTTATTTTAACTGAAACAAAACAGAAGTAGCTGGAAAAGCCTAGCAGGTCTGGCAGCATCTGTGAAGAGAAATCACCGGACCTGAAATGTTAACTCTGATTTCTCTTCACAGATGCTGCCAGACCGGCTGAGCTTTTCCAGCAACTTCTGTTTTTGTTCCTGATTTACAGCGTCCGCAGTTCTTTCGGTTTTCATTTATTTTAACTCTTTCATTCATAGTTATGGGGCAGTGGATGTGGACCGTTGTTAGAAGTGCAATAATTCTGAATTTACACCATTGAAAATATATTGTTGAAGTCACAGAGCAATGGTATTTTTCCACTTCCAATGGTTCTGTTTGAGAGCACACATGGGAAGACTGCAAACCCTTAGCCACTGACTTTTCTTCATTAAACATGCAAGGCTGTGCACTGTCTGAAGATGAGCTCCTTGAAAATGTACCAATTTGGAAAACCTATCCTGAAATATCTGGCATAATGAATGTTGCTTGTTAGGTATTTTTATGCTCGCAAAGTTTACCTGAAATATGAAAATAACCTGATTTGGGAGCTAAACAGAAATTGCAGGAAAAACTCAGCAGGTCTGGCAGCATCCGTGGAGAGAAAGCAGAGTTAAAATTTTGGGTCAGATGACCCTGCTTCAAAGCCTGATACGTTAACTCTGCTTTCTCTCCACAGATGCTGCCAGACCTGCTGAGTTTTTCCAGTACTTTCGGCTTTTGTTTCTGATTTCCAGCATCCACAATTCTTTGGTTTACTGTTGACACAGTTTGGGAATGTCTAATATTATGCAAACGTGGATCAAGGTTGTTTTGTTGCGCTGCATATGCAACAGTTAATGCTTTAAATTTCAGTCAAGTGGAGCAACGCAACTGATTGGCATCTGAGTTGCTGAAATGAAACATAAACTTCACTGCTATGCTGAGATGAAGTGTCACTGCTACTGTTTATATATGTTGTAGCTGTAAGGTTAACTCAACCTCAATAATCTCAAAACAACAGACATGTGATTGTCCTGACACACTTCCAGCCTTTGCCAATCACATTCTGCAAAACATGTGCTGTTATCTAGTGCAGAAGTGCCCGATACAGGCAATCTGCCATCTTTGTTACAAATCACAGACTTAGCCACAACTAGGACAGACTTATTTATTCAAATAAATGCGTCAGCTTATTAGAACAACTCAGCACAAAGAAAGAATCCAGCTAATAATTCTTTCAGCTCCACTGTAATCCAAAGCATTCGTCTGTAGGAATTCTCATTTAATCTGGGCTTTTCGGGAAACTTATAGTTCCATTCAAAGGGCTTGAACAGTAGAGGGACGCCATTTGAAAGAAAAGTTGTAAAAATATTTCTTTTTCACGAGATTGAAAGAAATCTTGAACTTTGTCCCTCAAAAATCTGTGATGCTGAAGGAGTTTTCAAACCTTTCGAGACTGATGAATTTTTGTTCAATGACAGTGACAAGGGATACTGAGCAAATGGAGTTAAGAGGCAGATCAAACATTAGCTAGTTGAATGTCAGAGCAGGATCAATAGGCCTGCTCGTCTTCTGATGCTCCAAGTTTGTGAAAAGTGTCATTTTGGCGTGAAACTTGTGCCATGGCCAGACAACTAGACACTGGAGTCTGTGTAGGGAAATGATGGCCTGGACTATCACGATAATATATTTATTAAAATGAATGGCTTCCTCATAGTGAATATTATTCCAATTTGCATTCCTGCCACACCTTGACACACATGTAGTGAAACTCTTTGCCTTTACGGACGCACCTCCACTCTAGTTCACTGATGCACACTTGAGTTTTAGGTGACAGCAATTGAACTTGGATGTCCCTTTCATTCGAACAAAGATAGAATAATTAATACTTTCCCGAGATTTTCCTTCATGTCATTTTTCTGGGTTGCAAAGTCGTCACTTATTCTGTCTGGAAACCGAAGCCTTTAATGAAATTGAAATATTAGAGCAACATTTAAATTCATTCAGTAACAATATTTATTTGCTGTGTAGTGATTTTTCTTGTGGTTTTACAAAGATGGGTTTTCATACTCTGTACATGGCCTGACATTATCGGATCACGTTCCTTGATTGGAGACATCAGCTTGAATTCCTTCTTCCTTGCACTTATTTCCAGCCTCTTGAGATTAGAAGTAGAAAAGATTTAGTGTAAGCTGTCAGTGTTCACTTGCAGAAGTGGGAATGAGCATTTTCTTTTGTAAACGGTGTCTTTTATTGTTTCAAAAATATGGTTCAGCAATAATTCTAACCTAACAAATAGGCTGAAAACTGGCCTGTTATATTTTGAGAGATAGTAGGAACTGCAGACGCTGGAGAATCTGAGATAACAAGATGTAGAGCTGGATGAACGCAGCAGGCCAAGCAGCATCAGAGGAGCAGGAAAGCTGATGTTTCTAGCCCATGTTAATTTCAATTGAAACAAATAAGTAACTGACCCAGTCGCATTGGCTTCCCATCAGATTGATCAATGTTTATCAGTGGAATGAAAGTCACCGTCTGCCTGGTTCTATTTCCAGGAACCACTTAGAATCACAGAATCCCTACAGTGTGGAAGCCAGCCATTTGACCCATCAAGTCCATACTGACCCTTCAAAGTGCATCCCATCCAGACTTACCCCACTGCTGCATCCTATCCTGGTAACCCTGGATTTCCCATGGCTAATCCACCTAGCCTGCACACCCCTGGACACAATGGGCAATTTAGCACAATCCACCTGACCTTTGGACTAGGGGACGAAACCAGAGCACCCAGGGGAAAAAAAAACACACAGACACGGGGAGAATATGCAAACTCCATGCAGATAGTTGCTTGAGGGTGGAATTGAACCCAGGTCCCTAGTACTGTGAGCAGCAATGCTAACTACTGAGCTACCATTCCACCTCTTAGTTTTATCATGAGACCAGATACTAAAAATGTCAGTTTCTTTCATGACAGAAATCATAGCAAAATATATACATTATTTCCATAGTTAACTGTAGCTTATTTTCTTCTCATTGCAGCTAAGGAAATCCTAACCTTTCTCAACATAATGATGCAAAGTGACCGTTTCAGTCTTGTACATTCCTTAAAACTCTAATTCTATTACACGCACAATTTCTTGTGAATTAACTAGCTTGATGGAAAGAGGATTAGCTGACACACCTTGACAAATCTTTTTCTGACTGTTTAATAGGCAGCCACAGCAAGTAACTCCTTATCATACAATGAAGATTGAAAGAGATCCATAAATTTGAAGAGGTCTTATTCTCCAAAGGAGCACCATCTAGACTTCAGGTAATATCATTTTGCAATAATGCTAAAATAAATGAGTTCCTGGGCTGCAATATGGCTCAATAAGTAAATTACAAATAAGGGATTTAACAGTTGAGGTTGTAAAGGACATTGTTGAGGCCTCTTCTGGAGTACTGTGTGCAGTTCTGGTAGCCCTGATATAGGAAGGTTATTATTAAACTGGAGAGGGCTTAGAAAAGATTTACCAGGATACTGTCAGGAATGGAGGGTCTGAGATATAAAAATAGACTAGAAAGGCTGTGACTTTTTTCACTGGAGGTTGAGGGGTGACCTTATAGAGGTTTAAAATCATGAGGAGCATAGATAAGGTGAATTCCCTAGGGTGGGGGAATTCAAAACTTGGGGGCAGATTTTTAAGGGGAGGGAAGAAAGATTTGAAAGGGACATGAGGGGCAACTCTTTTACACAGAGAGTGGTTCGTGTGTGGAATGAACTGCCAGAGGAAGTGATGATGCAGGTACAGTCACAATGTTTAAAAGATATTTGGATAGGTTCATGAATAGGAAATGGGATATGGGCCAAGCGCAGGCAGGTGAGACTAGTTTAGTTTGCGTAAATGGTCAACATGGACTGGTTGAACTGAAGGGTCTGTTTCCATGCTGTATGACTCTATAGCTCTATGACAGACACAAAATAGTCACTATGCAAAAAGCCCATACCATCTGAAAGTCTAGTATTAGCAATCTTGGCACTAATTGCTGATTATCATTGGATGGCTAATCCAAGCATTGACTTTAGAAAAATATTGGCCTCTTGCATAAATGCGAGCAAAGTGGATATTTCAGCCAGAGCATCTTGGTCTTTGAGTGGCTGGGGGAGTCAATGAAAATCAATAACACCTTCATTTCTGCCTCCCCCCGCCAGTACTTTGCAGAAATAGTTGCAGTGGTTTTGTTGCTCGATTACATCTCTGAATTATTATTTACTAAATCTCGAAGCATGATGACATTTACTGCCCGCTCTGAGGATGTGGTGGTGGGCCTTTCTTCTTGAAGTGATTGTCTTCACTGGACACCACATGGGTGTTCAGGGACAACCACATGGTGTGGGACTGGAGTCACATGTAGGTCAAACGTGGTAAAGCTGGGCATTATTGAAACAGTCAGGTTTAATCCACAATCTAGCAACCTTCACAGCTATTGTTTTACACTTGCTGCTTTACAGAATATTATCAGCTCCAGAGTAACAATGAAGAGGGTCACTCTCGGTATCCTTGACCGATAATGTAGAACGAGTTCAGTTAGTAATATAGTATCGGTTTGGCCCAATGGTGGTGGATGCCTGGCTTAGAAGGAAATTGGCTCAAGCTTCACTCCAGTGTATAAAAGCATTGGCCAGGCAGACACGTCAGTGGAATACAGAGGCAGTGCAGCACTCCCTTACGTGTCGTCATTTGGATAAGACATTAAATTAAATGGTCTGGCTTTTCAACTGAGTGCAAGTGATCCAATCTGACAGCATTTGAAAGGGAAGAAGTAATTTTCCTAGAATCCTGGCCATCCTTTTTTTTAAGATCTATTTACATCACAAAATATAAGTATCTGGATTTTTATTGCATTACTGTTGGTGGGATCTTACTGTATGCAACGAGCTGCCATGTTTGCCCGAATGACAACAATGCTTGGAGTTCAGAGGTGCTTCATTGGTTGAAAAGTATGTCAGAATGTCCTGATGTGGAAGTGCTGGTGCTGGACGGGGTTGGACAATGTCAAAAGTCACACAACACCAGGTTATAGTCCAACATGTTTGTTTGAAGACACAATCTTCCGGGACACCTGAAGAAGGAGTGAGACTCCGAAAACTTGTGTCTTCAAATAAACTTACTGGACTGTACCCTGGTGTTGTGTGATTTTTGAGAATGTCCTGAGGTTGTAGAAAATACCTTATAAAATGTAAACACAGGTTTGTGTTCGAGGCCCAACCACGTTATCATTGATTTTCACTCCATCATAAGGTCAGAAGTCAGGTAATTGGCTGATGATTGCACAATGTTCAGCAGCATTCCTGACTCTTCACATACTGAAGCACTCTGTGTGTGTACGCAGCAAGACTTGGACAAACATTTCAGCTTGGGTTGATAAGTGGCAATTACGTTTGCATTATGTAAGTGTCAGGCACTATCTCCCAAAAAGAGAGAAGAAAACCATCACCCCTTGACATTCGATGGCATGACAATTATCAAGTCCCTCACTGAAAGTGAGCTGAATCAGCCATATAAATAATGGCTACAACAGCAGGTCAGAGATCGAGAATTCTGCAGTGACTAATTTAGCTGCTGACTCCATAAAGCCTGTTCACCATCTGCAAGGCACAAGGTGCATGATGGAATAGTCTCTACAAGCCTGGATGCATGCTGCTCCAACAACACTCAAGAAGCTCATCACTGTGAGAACAAAGTAATCAACTTGATTTGCATTCCATCCACCACCTTTAACATTTACTTGCTCCACCCCAAACACCCAGTGGTAGCAGTGTGTGTCATCTGCAAGATGCAGGAACTCACCAAGGCTCCTTCAACAGCACCTTTCAAACCCACAATCATGATCAACTAGAAGGTCAAGGGCAACAGTTGCATGGAAACACCACCACATGCAAGTTCCCCTCTAAGACACACTCCATGCTGATGTGAAACCATATCATCATTCTGTTAATGTCTCTGCGTCAACACTTCAGGCATCCCTTTCTGGCAGTATTGTGGTTGTCACTACAAAGGCTGCAGCAGTACAAAAAGATAGCTCACTATCATCTTCTCAAGGGCAATTGCAAATGAATAATAAATGCTAGTCTAGCCAGCAATGCTCAAATCTCATGAATTGAATTGAATTGAATTGAATTAACTTTATTGTCACATGTACTCAAGTGGGCACAGTGTAAAGTTTACAACTTGCCACTTCCAGCGCCATTTTAGGTACAAAGGTACAGCTTCTACAGTTACAGATTAGTTACAGTGTAACAATGTCACCAACACATGGCACCATCTTAGGTACAGAGTACCTCGGTACAATCCTTAATTGCAGACTGAAGAAATGAAGAAAAGACATGTTATATTACAACTATACACAGTATAACTATAGTTCAGGAAATCAAGAAGCAAAGTTAAAAAGACAAATGTCATGAATGAATAAACAAAAAAAAACAAGCGTCTCATTTTACTTCATGAAGTCACACAACCCTTAGACAGTGTGAAATTATTAGAAGACAATTTGACTGATTGGGTAGCTTTACTCCATAAAAATAGGAATGTCCAGTAATTAAGACAATAAAAATCATTAGAAATGGCATAAAATAGACTAAAAGGTCATAATCATTTTTGTAAAAGCGATCTTGAGTAATGGAGAAGGAGCAAAAATAAAGTCATGAGACGTCAATTTCATTGCAAAAATGAGTTTAAATTTCCTGTTCCATCAGATGATGCTTGTAACCCTGTTTATTTTAGACAATTTACAAGTACTTCAGATTCTTCATCTGTGGTGTGACACAGTTGTAATAAAATTGTACTGTATTGATTTTGTACCCAATAAACTGACAACAGTCTTTTTTTAGTAGAACAACAAATTACTGTTCGGCGTGCTTTCATGATGATTGCCTGCAGTGAAGCACAAAGTCCCTTTCAATTTATTTTCAGTTTTTTTTTCAAACGCAAGCTTTTCAAATTCTGCAGAAAACAGGATTGCCAACACAAATCACTAAAATGCTCAATTCTTACACAGAGCAGACTCTAATGCATGTCATTTATAAAGCAGGATCGACACCAAAACACGTCAATAAATCCCCAGTTGGTGCCCTATGAGGGCCTGTTGTGATACGTTACCATAACTTCAAGAAAGAAACACAAATGAGAGCAATGGACTGAGAAAAGCCGTTCTGCCCATTCGGCTTTTCGTTACGTTTTGTGTTTGGTGATGATTGTTCTCTTCACAGAGTTCTGAGATTGCGTATGGATTGTATTTTAAAGCAAAACATATTTGAATGTCCTTTAAAGGAAAGGCAGAAGATGCAGGAACTGAATATAGGCAATGAAGCCAGATAGACTGATTTGTGGAAGTTACAGTGAGAGTTCAGTGACATTATTGCTGGTGTCCTCTGATGGACTTCTCAACTGTGCATCAGGTGTCAAGCAACAGAAGGCAGCAGCTATTACACAATTGAGAGGCCAAGCCCTTTTGTGTAGTCAGTGAGGTCCATGCTGGGAATCGTAGTAAAAATCAGTGAAATTAGATGAATGTGCAAAGATAGGTGTGAAATAACTCCACAGAGGCCATATCCCATCTCCAAGTCACCCTTTATTTACACATGGTAAGTCCTTGGCACTGACCCAGCTCCCTCAGAGCCAGCTCTCAGAGTGAACAGGACGCCTGACACTTGTGTTCTTATCTGTCAGCCAGGGCTCCCTGATTGAACCAGATTAACAGTCCCAATCAGGGAACAACAACACCTGGCTGACCTCATTAAAATCACCACGTCCCTCCCCCTCTGAGTGTGAGGACGTAGGCCGGTTCTTTTCCTTGTAGCTCCTCCTGGGGATGTTTTAGCAACAGGTCAGGTTCCCCCAACTCTGCCTCTGATAAGGATGGCATGTAACGCAGAGTAGCTCACCTTTTGCCCGCCCGAATGTCTGAGAAGAAATTCATTCTCTTCTTCAGGTGGTAAAGTCAACGAGGCCATGACATCCACCATGTCCATGTCAGATTCCGACGTATCTTTAACGTTGCAGTGGGAGGCCCCGTGCGTTCTGAAACAGTCGGAAAGGCTGATGAGTAACCAGCCATGGTTTGTTCCCACACCATTTGAGAGATTGTAGCTTTCATATGGTCCACATGGTTGATTTGGACCGTCACACCTCCCCAAACTTTATATGTCACTGGATTTGATCTCATGTCAACTGTGCCTCTTACCCATGAAGGGCCATTCCTGCGGTTCCTATGCAAAACTTTGTCCCCCGAATTAAA